TGGCTTGAGAGACTGGCGCAGAAAGACTGCCCTAATAATCTAGCTTCGAACGTCAAGTATCGCTGGCAGCCTTCACCGCTCACAGCAGCTTGTATTGAGTGGCCTGGCCAGGAGCGACACGGATCTTCTCCTCCGAACCGTCCTCCTGGGACGGGCACAGGCTGAAAGGGGCTGCGCATGTGTGGCTCCATGCCCCCGTGCCTCGCAGTTCGCCGTGCAGCCCGTGCTGCCGGGCGAAGTCGACTGCAAAGTCGCCTTGTTGTCGGGCTCGGGCTCGGGGTCCGGCAAAGTGTGTGGCACCTGCAGCGCCTGCGATGGAGAGTCCGGCTAAGACGGGGGAAAGAGACGTCTGAATTCAAGCTCATGACTCTTTCCCGGATACTGCCCTGGTCACCCGCCTCATCCCTCGGGCTAAAGCCTGCAAGTCGGCAGGGGCCATCGTCTTGCGAGCTCTCGGGCAAAGGTGTCTTGCCTGGATCCTGGGGCCTCCCAGTCCATCGCCCCTGTCACCAGGCGGGTGTGCACATGGGAGCTGTAAAGAAAGAACTCCGGAATGCAGGGTTTAGGGTTTAGGGTTTAGGGTTTACGGTTTAGGGTTTAGGGTTTAGGGTTTCGGTTTAGGGTTTAGGGTACTCTGCAGTGCCAGTGCACGTGAGAAGTGAGGACCTTGCAGGCCTTTCCATCAGCAACGTCGGCTGCACGATGTTTCGTGCGCGCGAGTGAAACGGCCTGAACATGGTGATATATGGGGGTTTACGAAAACCCCCAAATAGCAGGATTCCCTTTGTCATAGGACCCCAATATAAGGTACCCCTAATATCGCAAACCCCCATATGTGGCAACTTGAGGCAATCCCTCCTGTGTGGTCTGGGCATGTCTGGACTCGACCCTGCCTTCTGCACAGCCATGTGTGTCAGCGCGTGAGCGTCGCATGGTCTGCGAAGAAGACTTCCTACCTACAGATCCTTAGAACTTGCATCAGCTTGCAGTTCAACTGCGGCTGCACGTTGGGATCGGTTTGCCGCGTGTGGGGGACGATTGGGGGCTCTCCGGCGCCAGTTTAAAAATCGGGCTGACCCGACTTGACCAAGCTGCATGAAAAAGACAATGGAAACATTCCTCTCATGTCAAAGCCAAGAAGCTGCGAAGCTGCCATCACAATATTCACACATCGGACAAACCGGCTGAAGTGCTCGCAACTGCTCGGCTCGGCCCTCACACCTCTGCAACAGCCGCCCAGAGCACACCAGTCCAGAAGCACCCCCTTTTTGCCACAAACTTGGTCAGGTTCCAGCTACCACCCGGCAGCTATCCTACACTGTTCTGCGGACGCAGGTGAGACAAAGCCAGGAGCTTAAATTCAAACTCATGGACACGAAGAGATGCGAGGCAGCTGAGGTGTCACGACAGACAGCAGCCTCGGGCATCCTCCTCCTCATCCTCCTCGTCCTCTCCACCGCTTGCCTGCCGTTTGGGCTCACAAGCGCCTTGCTACGATTTAAATTGCTATCTGTTGCTTATGAGGCAGTTGCATAATGACTAGATAACTAGATAACTAGATACCTAGATAACTAGATAGCTAGATAACTAGATAACTAGATATGATTCAGGTCCGAAGCCGGTGGCCCGCCTTGGAGGACGTGGGTCCTGGCAGGGATTCTTCTCAAGCATGACAGAACGAGGCATGGCTTCCTGCACCCCCGTAACTACACAAGGAAGCCCCAGGGGTGCCAAAAACGAGGTTCGGATCGGGTTTAGGGTTTAGGGTTTAGGGTTTAGGGTTTAGGGTTTAGGGTTTAGGGTTTAGGGTTTAGGGTTTAGGGTTTAGGGTTTAGGGTTTAGGGATCTCCAGAAATGCCACGCCTTTGGGTTGCTTTCGCGTCTTGGTTCCGCGACTGCGGGCCTCGCATTGCATGTGCTGAGCTGAGGGCTGCAGTAAGAGCCTTCTTTCTGCGCCGTTATTGTCCTTATTATTCCTTGTTGTTATTATTATTGCTATTATTGCTATTTTATTCTTCTTCATATAATTATTTTTTATTATCAGTATAATCACTATTATCATTATTATTATCATTGTTCTCATTATTAGTATTTTGGCTTCATCTTCCGCTTCAAACAGTCAAACAGTCATCTTGTTTCTGCCTTTGGCTGGTCGTGGACGCGAGGGGCAGGAGCAGATGCCAAGTCCTGGGCTCTACTCTTCTTTAACAGCTACAAGCCGATGACCCCAAAGACACCGTTGAATCTACACGAGCTTGTACACACCTGAAGAGTCTGTCCCAGACCCTACAAACCCTAAACCCTAAACCCTAAACCCTAAACCCTAAACCCTAAACCCTAAACCCAATGATATTTGCTGAAATCCGACTAGCAATAACCAGCCCTGCACAGGCCAAAGGCCCGCCTCCGCGGAAGACTCCGATTCTGCCTGACCCGTCGTGGCCAGCACCTTGGCATCAAGGCGCCCTTATCGGTCTGGGGTTTAGGGCTTAGGGCTTAGGGCTTAGGGTCTAGGGTTTAGGGTTTAGGGTTTAGGGTTGAGGGTTTAGGGTTTAGGGTTTAGGGTTTAGGGTTTAGGGTTTAGGGTTTAGGGTTTAGGGAACCTGAGACCAGGGCCAAGATGCTCACCACATCATGGCACACAGATGCCACCTTGGCTAGTCGCCCAAAACACAACGCGGAGCTGCTTTTCGTGCTGTGAAACGTCCGAAGCCGGCCACGGTCTGCTGCCAAGACACCAGCGTCAGAAGGCCCCAAAGTGTCCCGAACGCAACTTTCAGTCCGGACCACAGGCTACCCACCTTACATCGCAAGAACAAGTGCACCGACATACTGCGTCAAGCGACGATATGTCGCTTGCAGGAAACAAGCGGCGCACCCAAGTCCTCCGCCCGGAGGGCTGCACCTCGTCACAAGAAGCTGTCGAGAACATGCGACAAGTCTCCACAGGCAGTGTTGCAGTGAGTGGCCCGAGCTAGCACGCACCAGTTTGTATTTGCATCGAAAACCCTGCGCAGACTCTGATCCCTGAAAAGATCAGGAGCGGTGGCTGGAGGCTATAAGGAGTCTGTGCATAGTGGAACCACCCGAAACAACTCGGCCATGGGGTTCAAGGGTGGCCTTCACCGGAAAGTCTAGAAGCAGCTGCCGGGCCTGTCAAGATCACAGAAAGAGGTTCAGGCACGTGGGCGTAGCAAGAGTGGTGCCGGTGCCGCAAGATGCTGCAAGTTGCTTACGCCTTCCGCATATACTCGTGCCTAAGTTGTTCAAGCGTATCTTCTTGCAGGTGTCCCGCATGGCATGGAATGCTCCCACATACTCCCACAACTGACCCACTGACTTCCCTGCAAATCATGAGCGGAAATTATCCAGCAGACAGCGTTGTCGGCAGCAGTCAACATACAGCAACAACAACCATGATGAGGACGACGACGACAACCGCGACGATTCAATAGCTCAGTAACTCGAACAATAAGGACAGCAATGGCTCCTGCAAGTGTACCGCGCAAAGGTGGCCTGAGTAGTGCAAGCAAACGACAGTAGATATGTAGTGATAAGACATGATGTAAAAACAAAGATACCATGTGAATTGGACTTCAGAGGATGTTGGACAGTTGGCCTAGGACAGTCAAGGCTTCTGTATGCCTGCACTGTCGTAGTGACTGCGTGACGATGGTCGCGGGTATAGCAGCAAAAGTAGCTCGCAGCATTGTGCAACAGTTCGCGCTACAAGCATTCGCTGAGTATTGAGACAGCCCGGAATGAACTTCTGCCTGTGTGGAGCCTGCTAGAACTTCTTGCAACCTTTGCCTAGTTGTCCAGTACCTAAGGGGAACTAAAGGTTAACCTTTGAAAATTATAAGGCGATTGTATTACCCCCAAAACAGGTTAAAGGCTGCCTACTCTACAACTAAGCTTATATTACCCCAAAAAAGGTTAAAGGTTACCTACTCTACAACTAAGAGTTTGCTTGGATGGAGACGTCCAGCTCTGGACATCTGCCTCCATTGCCAGGCGCCGAAGCTCGGGGGAGCCCTTGGCAGCCTCCGCATGGGCCTCAGTGAGAAATCCTTATGACTAAGATCACTATTATTAGTATTATTGTTATTGTCATTTTTGTTGTTTTTGTTATTTTTGTTATTATTGTTATTATTGTTATTATTGTTATTATTGTTATTATTGTCATTATTGTTATTATTGTTATTATTGTTATTACTGTTATTATTTTTGTTATTGTTCCTGTTATTATTATTGTTCTTATTTTTTTATTATTGTTATTTGCAAGCTTGGGGAGATGGACGAAGCCCCACGTGCGGGGTCCCCAAGTTGCTAAGCCCTGGATTCGCCATGGAGAGCTGGAGCCGTTGCAGGTCTCCCAGGCGTACATGAGGAGTACAGGAACGTGCTTGCAGAACAAAGGCATGAGGTCTACCCCTGCGTCGCAAGCTGTCGAAATTCGGTTCAGGGATTTAGGGTTTAGGGTGTTGAGTTAGGGATTAGGGTATAGGGTTTAGGGTAGCATGAGAAGAAAAACACTTTTGGAACAGGATTCGCAGCGCTTGTTGTAGTGTCGGGGTACTCTGATGCATGAGCAAAACTGCACCCAGGACCTGGATGATTGGCATAAAGATCATTTTGTTCCTGCGCGTTGGACAGATGCGGTTCGAGCTTTCAAAGGCTCAGACATAAATCAAACGAGATACTGTTACATTGCTACATTTCATACTCGTGCCTCTTGGAGAAGCATCAGTCGCAGTTCATGTCTTGTAATACAGCAACACATATACATGTAAATATGTATGTGTATATATATATATATATATATTATGTTTTTTATGACTTTCAGCATATGGCTCTGATTGTTCCAGATCTCACTCCGTAACATGAACGCAGATGCCTCATAGGACATTCTAGGCTCCTCCAGCACGCTGCGAAGAATTTTAGAGCTAAGTGCTTAACAGACCTGAGTTCTGGCTTCCCGGTCTTCGGGTCATTCAGAATCAGGTGAGTTCCACGGGCAACTCACGGCCACACGAATTCAAGAAAGCATGCTGAATAAGTTTGCAGGCTCGTGGACGTTCCTTTGGAGTCCGTCGCGTGCAAATGCTCACAAAGTCCCGCAGGTGGGGACTGACATCTTCTTCGAGCGGCGGTGACTGTTCACAACAAGCTATGTGCATCATGGCCGCCAATTGTGAGGAAAACTTGCCCCAGGGGGGCTGAGCTGTTACCATTTCGATCAAAGTACAACCGAGGCTCCAGATATCGGCTCTAGAACCATACTTCTCTCCATTGATGATCTCAGGCGCCATCCAAAGAACAGATCCTCGGAACGTGTGCTTTGCGCTGATTTTGGACTTCTTTGCGCACCCAAAGTCAGCTAGCTTGACGCACGTCTTATCCTCTGTCAGGAGGACATTCGCCGTTTTAATGTCTCGATGTAATATCCCGCATCGGTGTATGCAGCTCACAGCACTGAGGAGCTGGGAGGCATAGGTGCGGATTTGGGGCTCTGCCAAGGGCCCGTCGCGTTTCAACAATTGCCGGAGGGAGCCCCCCGGCATGAACTCCAAATACATGTAATACTTCGACAATACCTTAGTAACCCAGTAACCATATTACAATAAGGGCACCCTTTTTTTGGTTGGTCATTTTATAAGGGAGAAAAAGGGTAAAGGGTACCACTGGGCTACCAAGATACTGCATCTGTCCCAAGCAGCCTCACAATGTTGGGATGCTTGAGCTCACGATGCGTGTCGACTTCAGCGGCAATTTCACTTGGCACTTGCAGGTTTACGTCAAGGTCCACCTCCTTCACAGCCAAGATCTTCTGTGTGTTGACAACTTCTGCCTTCCAAACCGTGCCCATAGCTCCACGGCCCAGGAGACCACTTCGCAGCCAGGTGTAGGTGTCGCCCTTCACCAGCTCATCAATCTCCAGCCCACTATGTCCACTAGAAGTCCAGGTGGACTGCGCAGTACGTGTCGCCTTCTCTGTCTCCATGGGCTGCGGAGGTGTCTCAGCATTCTTCTTCCGGTGCTTGCGCTTCCGCGTGCGAAGCGGCTTGCTTTTCTCGCTTGGCATGGGCAAACCCTCTTGGGGCTGCAACGGGGGGAGCCGCACTCTGGACCAGCCAAGGCCGCTTCCAGCAGTTCCGGATCTTGTGGCCATGGTGGTGGAGAGGCTTGCGGCACTCGCGGCCCGACAGTTCCTAGGATGGCCCTCTTAAAAGCCTCTGAAAAAATGTTCCGAGATATGGGTCCTCTTAAACCCAAAAAGGGAAAATACAAAATATCCCAAGGGCCTACCTAGGTCCTCTTAATCCCAACAAGGGAAAGTGTAAAATGTCCCAAAAGTGCCTACCTAGGTTCTCACGGTTCTTCTCACATGTCTCGATGAAGAGGCGGGCCTCGGTCAGAACTGCCACGGCGGGAAGATCCTCGGCAGCCAGGGCCCTCGCGGCCCGCATCACGATTCGATGGGTCCCTACGGACACAAAGCAGCGCTTGAAAGTCCGCAGCTGCAAGCATAGACGGCCTAGCCTCTAAGTTCTGGTCCCGGGGATCCTACACGTAAGACGCATCCGGTCACCCCCTGAAGCTTCTTTGCCCGGAGATAAGATCCTTCGCCCGGAGGTAAGATCGGAAACTCATTTCCCAAGCTGGACCCAATACCCCGATCGAGGAGAAGCTATTCCCTAACGCACTTGTGAAACCATATACCCCATACCATACCCAAAATCCTACCCTCATCTCTTCTCCGAGAATGGAGCCCCTAAACCCTAAACCCTATAATCAACCTATAATAAACCCGATAAACCCTATAATAAACCCTATAATAAACCCTATAAACCCCCAATAAAACCCTATAAAACCCGATAAAACCCTTAAAATCATTAATAAAATACAAAACCCTATACAACCCTGCAAACCCCATAAAACCCTATAAAACCCCATAAAACCATATAAAACCCTATAGAACCCTATAAACCCTATAGGGGTTTACACCAGCTGCAGAACTTGCATCGCTGCTGGGAGCCAGTCGCCAGCGATGGCCAGCAGCAGCTCCCACGCCCGATCCTGCGGAGGAGTGGGCTGTGGTTTAGGCTTTAGGGTTTAGGGTTTAGGGTTTAGGGTTTAGGGTTTAGGGTTTAGGGTTTAGGGTTTAGGGTTTAGGGTTTGGGGTTTGGGGTTTGTGGTTTAGGGTTCAGGGTTCAGGGTTTAGGGTTTATTAGGGTTTAGGGTTTAGGGTTTGGGGTTTGGGGTTTGGGGTTTAGGGTTCAGGGTTTAGGGTTTAGGGTTTAGGGTGGTCTGTTTGGGGGGGGGGGGTCTTAGGTCTGGCGTATGTAAACTTAGGCTGTTTGGTGGTTTTGGGGGTTGATCTCCAAAAGTGTAGGTATCTATGGTGATCAAACCTCGCAGAAACTTGGTCAGCAAGAGCTCCTTCGAGTTTTCGTCAAACTCCTTCTCCCTCTATTCTCTATATGCATACGGGTGCATACACGAACAAGCATAACACCCAGACACCTAAACCCTAAACCCTAAACCCTAACTCCTAAACCCTAAACCTTGAACCCCTAAACCCTAAACCCTAAACCCTAAACCCTAAACCCTAAACCCTAAACCCTAAACCGCGTAAGCCCCCGTGGACCCCCATAAACCTCGGGAGACTGGAAGTCTTTCGCCAGCTTGTCGGAGCGCTGCCAGGCCTTCCGACTCCGAGGGCTTCATATTGGGTTACTATGAGGGTTTAGGGTTTGGGGTGTTTAGGGTTTAGGGTTTAGGGGTAGGGTTTAGGGTTTAGGGTTTAGGGTTTAGGGTTTAGGGTTTGGGGTTTGGGGTTTGGGGTTTGGGGTTTGGGGTTTGGGGTTTGGGGTTTGGGGTTTGGGGTTTGGGGTTTAGGGTTTAGGGTTAGGGTTTAGGGTTTAGGGTTTAGGGTTTAGGGATGTTCCCACTTTTTCTAACAGTCCTTAAGGTCATATTGGTACCCCTATTAGAATCCCTGTTGAGGTTTGTTTTGTTGGAGCTTTTAGGCTTTTGGGGTTTCATGGCCGCCTTCGCGTCGGACCGTACTCGCACTCGGGAGGCCTCGGGGAGGCGCCGGAACGACCAACTTTAGCGCTTACTGTTTGGGATGTTCCCTCCTTGTACTAACAGGTTTAGGGTTTAGGGTTTACGGTTTAGGGTTTAGGGTTGGATGTTCCCCCCTTCTACTAACAGTCCTTCATAGGGATTCACCCCCTGTTACTAGAACCCCTATTGAGGGAGGGAGTATAATCGGGGGTGCTATAATCCCTTTTCAGGACTGTTAGCACAAGGTGGAACATCCCAACTTCCTGCTGTCATTGTCATCATCACACCATTCTTTGCTCTTATTGTCGCCATTCCTCGTTCTGAAATGTAGCCGGATTGTTCTCAGAAACAGAGTCTATGGCTCGAAGTTGTCCCTTTGACGGTTGCTTCGGGCTTCTGGCTTGGGATGGCTCAGGGATAGGTAGGATTAGCTTGGCGACGCAAAACCCAGCATCACTGAATCACATGAAGTAGGGTCTATATTTCTTGTACCCCCAAAAGGACACCCAATATGCACACTCACCAATATTAAAAAGGAGCCTTACGTACACTCATCAAGAACAGTAGTATAAACCCTGCTTCACATGAGCTGACCCCCCCCCCCCCACAAAAAAAACAAACAGCCTCCTCATAAGGGCAAAAGAGGGATTACACTCTTGTGTGTGTGTGTTTTTTTTTTTTTTTTTTTGGGGGGGGGGGGGGGGGGGGGAAGTCCTCAAGCAAGTAGTAGTCGGCTTAGCTCATGAGATGAGGGTCCGTTCCGAGAACGGGCGGATTCTCTGTAAACCCTAAACCCTAAACCCGAAACCCTAAACCCTAAATGATTGCAGTCCAGGTGCGTCGATGTCGCCATTCCGCGAACCAGGCGCCTTTTCTCACTGCACTTGTTGCGGTCATGGAGCCGATGGAAGTTGCAAGTGCTCAGGGCTTGGGGTTTAGGGTTTGGGGTTTAGGGTTTGGGGTTTAGGGTTTAGGGACAACTGCATTCTAGTTGGTGGTGGCAGTGGTGGGAAGGGAGGTCCTTGCTACAACACGTGAGTTTCGAGTATCCGTGCAGGGAAGGGATGGCGCCTGCCTTGTTGGAAAACCGCCATGTAACCTGCTACTTGACAGTACATCGGTGAAGGCAATTCCTTCGTAGTTGCGCTCGCAGTTGCCCTTGCCGCGACTGGAATTGTCCTCACAATCTTGTCTTGTTGACTTGAGCATCAGCCGTCAGATGACTAGTCATTTTTGTTCGCCGGCGCAATTTGCTGCACCCACCCAAGCGTTGAATTGGCGTTATTGTTGCTATTTACTGTTGTTTCTTCTTATTATTTTGTTCTTCGTCTTCTTCTCTTCTTCTTCTTCTTATTCTTCTTCTTCTTCTTCTTCTGCTTCTTCTTCTTCTTCTTGTTATTGTTCTTCTTCTTCTTCTTCTTCTTCTTCTTCTTCTTCTTCTTCTTCTTCTTCTTCTTCTTCTTCTTCTTCTTCTGGCTCTCGCTCTGGCTCCTGCTCTGGCTCCAGCTCTTGCTGTTGCTCTTGCTGTTGCTCTTGCTGCTCTTGATGCTTGACTTGCATCCAGGAGGCACATTGCTCCATTGCAGCTCAACAGGGAGTCATTGCTTGTCGTGCTTCTCTAAGTAGGTGAAGAAAGATGCTGCGCCCATCGCTGAACCTCATGATGCTGCTTGATCAAGTCGTGGGTGCGAAGTGCGTCAGAGTGCAAGGAGGTTGCCGGGGCTTCTTGTCTCTGTCCGCCTTGAACACAAATCTCCTTCCATGCAGCCACCCACGGCGTCACAGCCTTTCACGTTTGCAAGTCTACTCACCTGCAGTCTGAAAAGCCATCGTGACCCGAGCGCGGTCTTCACAAGTCTCCCTCTTTTCTTTTAAGCTGGGCGAACGGCAGCCGCAGGCTGCAGCAAGACTTCTCATCTGGGCGCAGGAACACACGGCTTTCCTGTCCGTGCCAAGACCAGCGTGCTTCCAGACGCTCCAGTGAGGACTGTAACACAATGTAAACCATGTATGTAAAACACGCTCGTGAATTAACCACACAGCGTCACCATCGGGTCTTGCTGTCAGTCGAAGCTGTGCTGCAGCAGTAGCCGCACTCAGCAGGGTAGGAATGCGAAGACCTTTCCTGGTGTGGCTTCGGGCGGTGGACCCAGTGTGACTTCCTAACATATGAGTGAAGCATCCGAGTATGCAGGCCTTCCTGCCCCACATCTATAACTGAAGATACAGCTGTACAAATCTTTCGGGCGACGCGCCCAGCAATGAGTGCACCACTCGCAACAGCAAAGCTCCTGGAGATGATGAAACCTTTGCAGGGCATGGCCACCCTGGCATCTGCACAACAACCCTTCGAGCACCAGCAGTGGCATTTGCCCAGCGTGGTGCATTTTTTCACGAGCGTGCCTGGCAATCTTCTGGATTGGGGTTGGGGTTTGGGTTTGGGTCGGCTTGGTGCTTCGAGCAGCATGGAGAGGTAAACTGGGACAAAGCAGGCCAAAGCCCGTTGCAGGCTGTCGAAGAAGAATGGCCTTTCATGGTCCATGGTAGCTTCTTCCAACATGTGCTTGAAGCCGGAGTCCTTCTTCGAGCTTTATGGATTGCATTAGCCGTACGAGCACCATAAAATGGTAGCAGTGGGGGAGGGCTGCACCCCTCAACTCAGAGCTGAGCATGGGTACAGTACGGAGCAAGGAAGACTGCGCAATAATTACATCAATTCTCCATCATTCCACGTTCTCTCGGCTGCCTTTCACCCTAAGCCTCTAAAAGGCGCAGGCTTCCCCCACAGGATGGGAAAAACTGGATATCAGCTCAGCTGACCTCAGAAGGTCTTCGCCCCGCCCTGGGCGCATTGCAAGCGTCGGGTTCATCGGAGGCCCCTGAGTCATGCCTTGTCAATCTGTTCATGCTCAGGCACGTGCAGCGCAGTTTGCGTCTAAATCAGGAGGAAGTAGACGCACTGCGGTGGTGCCTTGTCTTGTGGCATCGTGAGCATCGATGCGCGCGTCAGTG